TTAATTCATTAATGCCGATTGATAAAAATGGGGAAATGAATTTGTGGTTTCAAAGGTTTTCACAGCCAACATCCCTAGGTTTTTGTGGGTTTCTCAGGCTGTGCGGGTGTGTTCTAGAAGAATATATTCCTGACGTTTTCGCCTGCCTGAAAAACCTACAAAAATCTATGAATTTGTGGTTGTCGCTGTTGGGAGAGGCAGAGTCCACTTTCTTGTGTTATTAACAAATTCATAAGGCTTTTCTAAGAAATCATGAGTTTTACAGAGAATGGCGTTGTTGTTGTTGTTGTTGTTGTTGTTGTTGTTGTTGTCACCAATAGGTTCCTTTTATTTCTAATGGCTGTGTTTGTAGTTTTTGCATCACCTTGTTCAGCCTGGACTACAAATGCTACCATCTGATGGATGGATGGGGATGGTAGGATAAGTAGTGAAATGAAATAATAATAATAATAATAATAATAATAATAATAATAATAATAATAATAATAATAATAATAAATGTATCTATATCCTGTGCCTCTGCCATGCAATCGCGTATGGAAGATGTCTGGTTGGGGAAGGCTGACTTATAGTGTGGGGTTGAATAGAAGTCTAAATCTTAATGTTAATTAAGTTGGATTTACCTATGTGTTGAGTTGGCAGTCAACTACGGATTGAATGCATCTACTCTATTTGGAACTAACCAACATGATTCCAGCCAACTGGTTTAATTTTTACCACTGATCTCCATCTTTCTTCTGACTTCATCCTCTCACCCATCCACTAGTATGTCATTCTCTCACCCTTCAAGTCCTGTGGACTGTTAGGACTTTATCGCACCAGCCTTCTTGTTTGCCTCAATTGCATTAGTGTAAGGAAGCAGAAACACATCGGTTTGCAAGCATTTGTTATTGCACTTTTCTGTAACAGCATGAAGGTGCTGCTTTGGTGATCTATGGTCCTGCATGCTCTCTTCCGTATGGCCTTTGTAACCATGGGTTCCTGCCTTATGCCCTACCCAGCCTGCTTTTCAGAGGGATTGTTTTGGGTTTTTTGTCTTCTCTCTTTAGCAATTGAGAAATTTTGGCAATGTGATGTAATAAAAATAAAGGAAGGGAAAGGAAAGGAAGACAGTCTGCTTGGGAATAGCGAGGGGGAAGGAAGAGAAGAGAAGAATCACATCCACCGATGCCACATGAATATGACTGCTGTCACAGTGTTACTGCCATGGAAAAGGCCTATCACACCAGGAGGACTAATGACACAGTAGTAATGTTAGAAATCATTGATGGGTTTCCCCTGTCAATGGAAAGGTGCATGTGGAAAATAGCCCCTTTGGCGAGACTTATCGCACGACACCATCTCCGTCTCATCTCTGCCTTGCCCTCAAAGCATTATTAGACTGCCACCTTAGACTGCATCTTGTCATGGACAAAGAAAACCTGTCAATAATCTCTCAAACACACTGCTGGTAGCACTACTCCTCATGTGCAATATGTTCCACTCACGCCAGTTCCGATATAGCACAGTCAAGTGGTGTCAGTGTCTCCTCCTCTAACCTCTCACTATTCAAAATTCTCACTATTTTCTTTTCCTTTTTTTAAACTTACTTGTATTATCTTTTCTAAATCATATAGTTGGCCCTTCATATTGGCAGGGGATTGGTTCTGGACCACCACTGTAAGAGATGAAAATAATGTAAAAGAAACTACAAAGCTCATGGCTAATTCAGGGCTGGATTGGATGACCCTTGGGGTTTCATTTTCTATATTTAAAACCGTGCATTTGCAGAGCAGTTTGTAAAAGGCTTTTTAGTTCTGCTTCACTGGAAGAAATAGCAAGGAATGTTGTTTTTTGGCCTTGAAAGCAGACTGTTTCACAGCCAAAGAAATAACATTGATGGTAAAAGAACAAAATTGAGATGCTAAATTCATTCACGCATGACAAGTAGAAGTGTAACGTAATCAGAAAAGGAGGGGGTTTGGAGTTATATCTTGTAACCAATAAAAATGTTGAGTTATGCA